TCTTCAGTGAGCTCTTAACCAACTGAGCCACTTGGCCGGCCTGCAGCATCCAGACACTTCTGATTACAGTAAACTACTGCTTGAGCAACGTTGACCAGTGTCCACTTGCATACATTTTTTTGGCACCCCCGGTATAAGTAAGACATCATATCATTTTCTCAACATTTGACTTAAGGACCCCTGCTCAGAATCAAGTATCTGGAAGTGGGACCAGGAATCGACACATTTACCTTGCTCCTAATGGTACTGTATGCCTGACGATGCTTGAGAACCTTGGTGTTTGTCATGAAGAGGAACAGGAATTCATAAATACAACAAAAGTACAAGCCTTCCTTCAACCTAAAATACTAATTTCTGACACTAGGCTGAACATGTTTTATCTGTCTTCATAGGATTTACTAATGTCTGACACTCTATTACATATTTATTTCTTCATTGTCAACTCCATTAGAAAATCTGTAATGTAGAATTTACCTAGAAAGGGACTTAAAATGTTGGAAAAATGGGAACTAGAAACAGAAAGCTCGCCTTAGTACTTGTGTTGTTACTGAGGAAAACTTGCCTCAGGAAGAAAAAGCAATGCATGCATAAATGAGAGATAACGTTCCCTGCAGCCCATGAATTATCATTGAAAAGAGATACACACTCAGACAATCTTTTGGTGGTAATCTATAACATTACAAGAGTAGTATAAAAGTCCTACAAACACATAGGTAGAAGAAGAGGATTTCTTATAAAAGAGCAAATATCAGATTGGCCTTATATTTCTGCTCTAGCAGAAGAGAATAAGGTCTATAGAGAAAAGGGAGAGGTTGTGATCCAAGAATTGATTACCAGCCAACTGAAGTTCATGTGGGAAAGAAAAATAAAGAAAAGACAATTTCAAATATACATGGGCTTAGAAAACAGACAATGTATGTACTTCTCGGGGGAAAAAAGCAAACAAAAAAGTCACACAAAATACGTTTTAAGCCCCTTTCTAACCAAATACGAGGCGAATTAAAATGCAAGGTTGAAGTGGGTCTATAATACAACCAACGGTTTTAAACATAGGATTAAGTCTAAAATCTTTTAAGTGTGGTATAAAAAATGAAATGCAACTTTGGAAAATTACTGAAATAAAAGATAGGAAATGTAAAAAATAAAAATTTTGTAATATAAGTAAGTCTCAAATACCAGATTATATAATTTTAAAAAAAGAAAGGAAGATTAAATACAAGTAGAACTACTAAGTTACTTTACAAAAAAAGGAGTCAACAAAAATTTTACGTTTTGCTTTGACAGAAAAATATTATACTTTGCTTTGATAGTATGCAAGAAATTTAATTTTCTTTTTCCTTCAATCAGTTTCACTTCTATTCTGGTGCCTCAGTTCTGCATGGATGGTGGGCAATTTTATTCCCAGATTTTAAGAGTTGTTCCTCCATGCTCTAATATTGTGGCAAAATACTGGCAAGTTTATATAATTGTGCAAAGGCAGTCAATCTAGTCCCTGAGACAGTAATTCATAGATTTCTGCTGACATTCACGCAACCCCAGTTTGCAGGCCTCTTTTGGATTTGAAGCTTTCTGATTCCACATTTCACTTAGAGCACAGAAATTTTTCTGCAAATTTTCTGTGTGCACATATCACTGACCCAGGTTCACTGACATGGGAGATACTGTGGATCTTCTTAGTGGCTATGCAAGTTAGCCACTTACTTCATCATTTCGTTCTTTTTTTTTTTTTTGAGTTGAAATGCATTCTATTTTTAGACAACTTACATGACACGTTTTTCTTAAAAACAATGCCTCCACTCCAAATAAATCAAAGTCAAAATAAATGAAGAGCTCAAGATAATATCAGTCCCATTTGTCCTAGTCCTGGTGTATGGATGAAAAGCAGCAGCCAGTTATGATGGTAACAGGTACTAGATCCAAATTGCCAAATTTGTTAACATTTTTCCATTTCTAAACTAGCCTTAAAGAAAATCATAAAGGGGTTCCACCATCCTCATGGTAATCTAGCAGAGCAACCCTGACATCTGGATTCATGTTTTAAACAATAAAAAACTTTTTGTTGTTTTATTAGCGAGGATGTGCTTCATTTGTTCTGCAGCCCCTGTCATAAAGGGTTTTACTCTTTCTGTTCTCTGTTCTTCACGTTTTTCTTTTATTGATTTCATGTAATCTTTCATGCATTTCTAGGCTTCTTTTGTGAAGCTGGTTTCCTGCGAATCATGGTTCACGACAGTATCTACAACAGCCATTACTGCACTTTCTGTACCTTTGCCCTCGGGCGGAGGCATTTCCACCAATGAGCGAGTCATCAGTGTTACCCTCTCCTACTGACCATCTTCCCGTCCACCTCCAGGCACAGCCCTTGTGCAACCTCTCCCGGACGTTGTAGATATCGGAGAACAGCAGATCCGGGTAGATGATCACGATGGCGGCTGGAGGGAAATGGCCGTTGCGCTGGCTCCGCAGGAGCCCGGAGTGAGCGCGCAAGGCAGCCCCGGTGGCGCAGGAGCTGGGCGAGGGGGAGCGGGCGGAAAAGTTTTCATCATTTCAATATTCCCCTGAACTGGATTCCTTCTCCACTTTCACACCTGCACCAGCTCTAACCCTGTGAGGCAAAACCAAACAGACAAAGCACCTACAGCAGGAGTCGGCGCCCCCGGGCCCGCTTGACACAAGGGAGGGCACAGGGCGGCGCACCGTGGCCGAGGGCGGGCACAGAGGACGGAAACGGGACGGGGGACAGCGGAAGGAGGACGTGGGGGCGCGGAAGGGAAAGTCGCCGCTGCTGTGGCCTGCAAAGGCCATAGGGGCTGCATATTAAGTGCCACCTAGGAGAGACCCCTAGAATGTCGCTGTGTAATGGACTTTAGCGCCCGTCCGCACGAATTCCAAACCGGGACTTGCCGGCGCCCAGCGACGCGGTCCCTGCGACGCCGCCGCGCAGGCTCACTGCCCTCTGCTGGGCGTGGGGTCGCGGTGCCCAGCGCCGCCGCAGGACTTGGCCAGGTGAGCGAGGGCGCTGGGGAAACAGGAGGAAGACTTTCCTGAGAACGTGGACAGATAGCAGCAGTTAACATTTTCAGGAGAGTAGGGGAGGCATCATTTCAACGCATTCATTTAAATTAGGAATACTTGCCAGGCCCTGTGCTAAGTAGTGTTAAAAAATAACGAAAGAAAACAATTTCGGCGATGCAAACAAATGCATTGATTTTCAGACTGTCACGAAGCGGACAGTCTCCTTCCGGAGAACTGCAGAATGAGGCAGAAGGCCCAGAGCTTTTGTAGGATGAAGAATAAAGAAAAAGAGACAGAAAATATCGGATTGGTGGGGGCCACATAGTCAGCCTATGTTGAGAGGCCCAGAGTTGGCTTGTCTTTGAGGGGTTGGCCAACTCAATATATTGCATTTATAGGCAAACGGAGCATTTATGGGATGGCAAATTTATCTAGTTATCTAAGTTTTGGTATGTTGATGTGCCACCCTGCACAGGAGGAACTCCATCTTGGACCTAGAAATTCATTTCAACAGTAGGTGATGTTCCCAGGGACCTGCATAATTTTCCTTCTCACTAGCTATGTGTTAAATCATCTTGCTTAACTAAAACTTACATCATTTGCTTTGTGCAGCCAACTTTCCAAACAAAAAAAAAATGTCCAACTCATTTTTGGAATATGTTCTTTCATTCTACAATTTTTTTGAGCCTCAATAGTACTTTTACTGCTGCACACATACAAGAGTCACAAATATAAGGGATTAAAACCACAGATTACTTAAATTACTTATGTGTTGAAAAGGCTGATAAGGACCTTGAGAGAAAATCTAAATCTATGTTTCCACTCCTCCCCCCCGCCTCATTTTCACATGTGAGAGCCTGCTGTTTACCAACTATCGCTCTAGGTGCTAGAGGTACAGAGTAAACTGGACATCGGCAGAAATAAGAGGGCTTCTGTGAAGAACTATAACTCTCTTGGAAGAAATAAGCCTTGAGGGAATGATATAATTTGTGAAATGTACTGAGGGAGGAGCATAGTAAGCAAATCAAACAGCTGATCTTTTCTTGAAACTTAGCTGGTGTGACCTGAAAGGGGAGTATATAATAGTCAGGTGGGACACAGGCAGTGATCATCAGTCCAGGAAGACAAACCAGCCTGCAGAGAGGAATGGAGTCGACACAGGGTGAGTGAGTGGTGAGAATAATAAACGGTAGGTGGAGAGTTGGTTTGTGGACAGATTCTGAAGCCTGGTACAGCATTATGGATTCTTAAGTCTTGTATGCCATATTATTGGCAAATATCACCTGTCAAGCGCTGCTCTAGGTTCTGCAAATGCCTTCCTGCAACCAAATCTAGTGGGAAGATTTGGTTAAGGAAGTAATCACAGGAAAGTGTGAGTGAGGGTTAATAAAGAATATAAATGCTGTGAGAACAGAGTATTTTATGTAGTGTAGAGTATTAAAGGAGATGACTTGGAGTTACTCTGAGGAAGAGAAAAGTGTAACAAGCGAGGGATCAAATATACAAAGGCTTGGAATGAAGAGAAAACCTGCAGGATTTGAGGAACTGAAAAATTCATTTTGGCTGTGTGAGGAAGAGGGGCGTGTGTGGCATGTAATGATACTTGAAAGGTACATTATATAATGACAGTCTAAAACCAAATCATAACCTGGTAAACAGATCAGATATTGACGGTCTAAAATAGAATATTTCTGATTTGTTTGTTTACTACCTGCCTTAGGCTAATTATTTTCCCATTAAGTATGTATTTGTGTTCATTTTTTGTATTACCAAATTCCAGCATGTTTAAAACAGGTTATGGCTGTTAGGAGAACGGCTAGCTTATTCCCTGTGCAGGGAGGGGAACTATTTGATCACCTTTGTAGAACGTTAAAAAAAAATGGACAGGGTAACACCTTTGATATCACGTGTCCATGGAGCTCTCTTCTCTTCCCTTTTCCAGTGGCCTGGTTGTAAACTTGTTCAGCTGAATCTGCTTGTAGCAGGACAGCAAAGCATCCTGCGTGACAAGCTTTAAACATATCCTTTGTTCTGAAGAAAGTTTATTAAGTTATAAATCCCTCAGAACCCTTGCATTGCCTTAAGATTTTGGAATGAATGCAAAATGCTGATTGCTAAACTACATGTTTGTACAAAATCCGAACCTCAACCTGTTTGTTTATTTGTATTTTTAGGTATATAGGAGTTTAATAGTGGCTAATACCTTGCCATCTTCTCAGTACTGAACTCTTAGTCTCTGAAATTAGAATTGGGATGAAAGTGTACAGAATAGGCTATTTTCAAATTCCTAGAACTGGATTCCTAAACCTGGTAGGCTTAAGCAGTGCCCTTGAGTTTTTATGGTATTATTCTGTGGCAGACAAGAGAATATGAGGAGAAGAGGGAAAAGAAGAGAGAGTTAGTAGTGGGAGGGGAACAGGAGTGGGGTTGGGGGAAAGACAGAAAATATGGAATTAATACAGAGAAGGATGCATGAAGTATTTAAGGTTTCCTTGGAAAAATGAGCATATCAAAGATGTCTGATGAGGTAAAAATAATACTACCATAAATATTTAAATTTGCAGTGATTTAAAGGATAAGCAGATACAGACCTGATGGCATCTGTACCAGTTTTGTGGTGTTGGGTACTGGATGGAGGGGTAATGTATGAAGACAGAACAGACTCCTTACCATGAGAGAAGATTTATTGTTTCTTGATTCTATTATTTCACAATAATAATTTAAAATGATAATGATTTTATAAACCTTACTCCTCATTTTCTATTTATTTCTTTGTTCTTTTCCCCAAACACAATATTATGGAAAACATAGGCAAATTTATATTTTTTTAATAGCCATCCAAGTACTTACCAGGTTTCCTTGGCACATTTCTTATATACTGCTGTCATGGTCGATGTGGAGAAGATCATGACCTCTGCCCCAATTTAATATTCCATTGAGCTATATCTTCCATCTCTGACTTATCCCCAGTGGCAAAAGTTGCGAAAAGCATACTCCAGGAGAAAAGCAAGCTTGGGTATATTGTGTTTGGCTCTGACTCTCTATGTGAGCTTCTCAGCTTTTGTGAACTGACCTGGTATGTGACTTTGAGAGACTCTTTTTCATAGACTAGCAGCCAGCCTAAGGAGTCCTGAGCACTACTTTACTTGACTTTCTTCATATGGGACACTTTCCAAGATAAAGGAAGCCCTGGGTTCCTTTTAACACATGAGCTGAGGGAGGGAGGGAGAGAGAGATTTAAAGAGAGAGAGAGAGAATGAATAAACATACTGTAGAGAGGATTTGTGAATTTGAAATTAAGGAAGAACAGAACTAAGAAAATTCAAAGTGGCAGCAATATTGGTGGAAACAGTTTCCCTTTGTTGCCTCTGTAGGGGAGGAAAATAATTTCCCTTCTACCCTTCTAAAGTCTTCTGACTGGTCTGATAATCAAATTGACATGAGATGGAGTAGCAGGAGAAAATAACCGGATTTATTATGTATGTACTTATGAGGGTCCCATAAGAACATGGGGCCTGAGGAGAAATCAGGCAGTTAAGGCTTATAAGCTATCTTGAGCTAAGGAGAAAGATGGGTGTTGAAGTTTGGGACTTAAAAGAAGAGGCAGGCAGTTCATATGGAGATGGGAAAGCAGATGTTTGGTAAACAAATGTTTGCTCGGCCATTTTTAATAATGGGACACAGAGAGGACTTTGATCACAAACAGGTCTTGCTAGATTCCTACCAGTCTATCATACTTAGTTCATATTAAACTGTAGTTATGATAATAGGCCCCTTCCTGGAGCAGGTTTTTCTATATGAATTCCTTTAGGTGGGTAAAGAAGGAGGTTCAAAGTTTCTTTTTGAGTCTTTTATTTCTTAAAAATAACCAACTTACAGTTATCAGTTTCCCCAAAAGGCATATTTTGGGGTGGCAAACTGCTTCCCCTCGCTTCCTACAGAAAGCTATAGTATTTTGACTGAATTATGTGCCTTTGGCTGAAAACCAATATCTTAATAACTCTTGAAATTTTTAGTTTGTGTTTCTTCCCCTGAGAGTTCTTGAGGAAACTTGATATTTACATTTGGATGATAATTTAGGAAGCTTCCAAAATCCTTGTGTGTTTTTTTTTATAACCACTTCATACTTAATTAGTAATAACATTTTATTTTTGAAGTCCCCCCCACCCTTCCATTTTTCATAGATCTAAATTTTCTACCTTTATCACTTTATTTCCCCTTCAAGCTCACTCATTATGTTTATGCTCAAGTCCTGAGAGACCACCTTATTTTAAATCTTCTCAATTTCTTTGAAAATGTGTACATAGATTTATACTTCTAGGAGTGTGCATTTGAGATATTTGGTTAAGAATATACAATATCTAAAAATAAATGGAAATATCTTACAACTCATTGAAATATTTAACATTACAGTTCTGTATATATTTGAGGGCAATAAAGCTTTCAATAAAATAATTTGTCTTTGTATTTATAAGTCACTTTAGTGGTGAAATTTTGAAATACTGTTCCTAGTTCTTAAAACATATCTGTTTAGGGGATTGCATTCTACTGTGTTATATTTTTAGATACTTATACAGTTCCAAGTGTTCTGCTGAGACACTTTAACGAAAATGCCATTTGAAGGTGAAGCAATTTCAAGTGGAAGGGAGATTGTATTGTAACCTTTTTGAAGGTGCCATGTTCTCCATCTCTTTCTGATATCATTTTATATAACTCACATATTAGAGATATTTCTAAAGTTATAAAACAAGTTTGTCACATTCTATCCAGCAACCTGATGATTTCTTTATTCATTTTCTCACATTTTCTTCATTAAGCATTTATTAAGTACATTTTATATGGTGAACACTATACTAGGCCTTAGTGACAGAGGGTATGTATGTACCTCAAAAAGCTGCTCTCAGGAAGTTTTCTGTCTAGTGAGAAGACAAATGAAAAATGAAATTAATGTGCAAAATGTGTTAAAATGGAATACTATAACATACTGGGTTGGGATAAATAAAGGGAATGATTATCTCTGCTTAGGAAATCACTTTTAGAGGAAACTTAAAAATTCAGTTTTTAAAAATGATTGTATATTTATTTACCAGGTCAATGAGGAAGGAAAGACATTATAGGTGGAGGTAATAATATATAATAAGGTAAATTTGTGGAACTCTGGTTGTTTGTAGACTCTGTGGAGATGTCATGAGAGAGAGAGATGTCATAAAGGACAAATCAAAGTGAGCTTTGGACTTGATCTCTTTGTTAGTAGAAAGCTATTGAAAAACTTTAAATTTGGAATAACCTGATTGGATTATAGAGATAAATGATTTTAAAGAGTATGTGAAACTAATTGGTGACTGTTGTATTTGTCCAGGTGTTATTTAATGAGGCTTGAACTATGTCAGTAGTAGAAGGAATAAAGGATGAGAAAGATAAGAATAAAGAAACCATTTTAGAGGTATGTTGCATGTGGAGAATGAGAAGGGAAAGAGATTGGGTTTTTTTGCTATTGCTTACTGGATTGATGATACTATTGATAGTTAAGGGAAGGAATAAAGAAGGAGCAACAGATTTTAGGAGAAGTATGAGTTCAGGTTTAGGGAATGATTTTGAAAAGCATTTGGTATTTCTAGAAATGGGGAGTAAGGCAGTAGATTTCTGTTTGAATTAGGAGTACACAGGCATAAGGTCTCAATTGGAGATAGAAATGTGGGATTTGTTGTCGTATGGGTTTTGATAAAAGCTATAGGCAAACAAAAGAAGTTCAAGAAATTAATAATTAAAACAAATAAATAGAAAAAGGGCACAAAGCTTGAATAGGTACTTCACAAAAGATGATATACAAAAGACCAATAAGCATATTAAAATGGAGTTTGACTTCATTAGACAGCATAGAAATGCAAAGTGAAACCACAATGACATATCACTCTCTAGAATACCTAAAATGGAGCAACAACAAAAAAGACATAGCAAATGATAACAAGGTTGTGGAGCAACTAGAACCTTCACTAGCTGTGGAACTACCAGTTTATATTGATACAACCATTTTGGAAAACTCTTTGTCAGTATCTTTTAAAGTTGACTGGATAGAGAGATGCAATCATTATGATCAGTGATGTACTGGGAAACCAGTAATGCACGCACGTGCATGCGTGTGTGTGTGTGTGTGTGTGTGTGTGTGTGTGTGTGTGTGAGAGAGAGAGAGAGAGAGAGAGAGAGAGTGTGTGTGTGTGTGTGTGAGAGACAGAGACAGAGACAGAGATTGATATTGATATGTAGAATTTGCTGATACTCCTTACCATGGTCAATTTTACACTACCAATGGTTTAATAGAAACATGCAAAATTCTTTAATATTTAATGACTATAAGCCAGATGCAGCCCAACCCAATAATTCTATTTCCAGATATGTAGCCAACAGAAATGCATACATGTTGACTGCAAAGACACATATAAAATGTTTAAACCTCTATTTGTAATGCCTCAAACTGGAAACAACCCCAAAGTTTACTTATTTTAGAATGTATATATTGTGGCATATTCATATAATAAAATACAAGAATGAGAACAATGGACTTTATAGAGCCTAAGTACACATAATAACAGTAATGGATGTCACAAAGATAGTTGAAACCAGACATAAAAGAATATATACTATATTATTCAATTTATATTAAGTTCAAAAGCAGGCAAACTAATCTTGCGTTATTAGAAATCAAGATAGTTGTTATTCTTGTTTGGAGTGGTGACTGAAAGGTGGCACAGTGGACCATCTGATATTCAGGTTATTTATGGGGTGCTATTTACTTGAATGTATTCGCCTTGTGAAAATTCATTGAGCTGTAACTTATGTGTGTATGCTTCTCTGAATGTATGTTTTATATCAACAAAAATGTTTGCATTGGCCAACTAGGCCTATAGGCAGAGTTGAGATTACCCAGGATGTATATATAAAGTAAGAAGAGGAGAGTGATGGAACCCTAGGGAACACAGAAACCACACATACACATTCCTGTTTCTTTCCCCATTTTCCTCAGGACCCCTTCCAGCTTTTTTTTTTTTAATGAAACATTGCATAAGGTAAGTATAATGCTAACAATAAAATTTCTGTTGGAGAGTGAGCTTGTTCTTGTAGCACTTCTTCATTAAGACTGTTTCTAGGGACATTTGGACTGAATTTATTCTTAGATTTTGGAAAAGTTAAAGAATTGGAGGAAGAAGAATTACTGTCATGAGAAAAGACTACGTGGAGGCAGGAGATGATGCTAAGTACAGAAAAGCAGCATTCTTCTAAACCTTGCTGGTGTATTGGATCCCAGTAAATGCACTATAACTATGTCATTATCTCTCAATGATATACTGGAATTATATACTTTGTGAATAGTTTGGAGTGAGAAAGGGGGAAAGGAAAGGAATTCCATATTGACCATCTCCTCAAAGAGCACTTTTAGAAGTGCGGAAGTACTCCCAATTAAACAGAAAGGTCTATCTCTAAAGCCTATAAACGTATAATGTTAGAAAAATGTCTGTTTCTCTAGGCTACTGTTTACTTTTCTCTCTTTTTCAGAAATGGCAGGAAGTCTTTTGAAGACATCATCTATGTCTATAAAGACAAAATTGCTACATCAAATGGGAGTGTCACTTTATAATACATCTCATGGCTTCCATGAGGAAGAAATAAAAAAAACACTCCAGCAGTTTCCTGGTGGATCCATTGACCTTCAGAAGAAAGATGATGGCATTGGCATTCTTACTCTGAACAATCCAAGTAAAAAGAATGCCTTCTCGGGTATAAAGAACTTTCTTTTGCTAGTTAAAGAATGACACTAAATCTAACCTGCTAGCATGTGACTTTTATCCTTACTCTGATGACAGAATTCTTGAAGGTAGAGGTACTCTTTGTAGAACATGAAAACAAAACAAAACTATCACATGAGCCAAGAACATTTTTTTACTAATTGTGAAAATAATGTTTTTTTAAAAATCCATTAATACAGAGGCTGATAAAAAGGAAACTGTCAAATAAATGTTGATTATCGTTCCATTGAAATTTATTAACTGCTTAGTAACTTCGTTTGTTTGTGTTTAACTAATGTCACTGGGGGACAAAGTGAAGGTGGTTTGAAAGATTTTTGAAACTAAAGAGAAAACCTATAAATGAACAAAAATTACTGTTCAGCTTAATTTCTTTTCTGTGAATTGCACTAAGACTGATTTTAGCAATGTAATTCCAATAATCAATGAAAACACTGCACTTGCCTTTTTGTTGTCCCTTTCCTAACTTAGATACTGGTAAATACCTTTTATTTGCTAGGCAGCACTCTTGGCATATAAGAATTTCATATTTAAGAGACCTGAAGGCCCAGGACATAGGTACTTTGTAATTTTTTGCCAAAGCTCAAGTTCATATTATGCTCCCATGATGTTATGCAAGAGCTAACGAGTAACCTTCCTGACTACGTGGTCCTCATATTTCAAGGTAATTTTGGCAGTTTCTCTATTTCTCAGTTATGGATTTCATGGGGATAAATTATACCTGTAGTAGCATTTAAAATATTGGGCTCAAAAGTATCTTCATAAATTTTCACATATCTGTATATAATTATACCTATGGATATAATTCAGTAGACTGTCTACTTTATAATTGCCAATGGTGGGTCTTTAAACCAAAGATGACTTTTCTTTCCACTCAGAATTCAGAGATGACACTCTATTACTGTTAACCAATAGAAATATAATGCAAGATACAAATACGAGCCACATATTTAATTTAAAATTTTCTAGTAGCTATAATTTTAAAAGAAACAGGTAAAATTAATTTTAATAATTTATTTAACCCAGTACATTAAAAATATTTTAACGTGATTGATATAAAAAAATATTAAGAGGTATTTCCTTTTTTTTTTTTCATACCAAGTCTTTGAAATCTGGTGTGTATTTTCCACTCACTGCACATTTGAATTTGGACTAGCCACCTCTCAGTTGCTCAGTAGCTACATGTGGGTGGTGGCTACTTTATTGGACCGTGCAGCTTTGTACTTTCCTTTGGTTCAGAGAGTAAAAGCCAATTTTAATATTAGCCTAGGAAAAATAAAATTAGAAAGATAAGACTGCTCCAAAGAATTAGATTAGATTAATAGTTTTAATTTGCTACAAATAATTTTTAATTGTAAAACTTTTTTCGAGTGGAAAGATATTAATTTGATGCCTAATATTTAAAACTAATACAAACAGAGCTACATTAATTTGGGTAATGGTGTTGGGTTGGGTTGGGTTGGGTTTGGAGATAATGAGTGAGCCCAATAGCACACAACTCCCAAGGCTCTTGTTTGAAAATCACCCAAGAAGATACTCTTTAAGATCCCTTCTAACTCTTAATGATTATGTACAAAGTCAAAAAGAGGAGTTCAACATTAACCACTGGTGTAGATTTTGCATACTCAAAGCCAGTGTTATTTTTTTTTAAGCTTAAATATTAGGGATGATGGAAAGCCATATTTACCTATATAGATTTATTCTTACCCTAAATGTGTGTTTTTCTGTGAAAAAACTACTAGACTGTAAATCTTTTGAGAGCAAAAACTGTATTTCTAAAGCATGTAGGACTTCCTTGGGAAAGTCTGCTGTTTTAACGAGGTCATAGTTAGCAATTAGAAAGGATAGCCGGGGCCGGCTGAGTGGCGCGTTGGTAAAGAGCTGGCTTGGGATGCCAGAGGGCCCCGGTTCGGATCCCACATATGAGGGCCAGTGACACTGCCCTCTACAGCTAAGATGCTGNGGTTCGGATCCCACATATGAGGGCCAGTGACACTGCCCTCTACAGCTAAGATGCTGAACAACAGCTCAACCTGGAGCTGGGCTGCCATAAGTCGCTGGCGTTGGCGTTGGCGTCGGCGTCGGCGTCGGCGTAGGCTGCAGCCATTGCTGCAGTGGGTTGCCATGGGCTACCGTGTGTAGCCAGCAGTTACCGTGTGTAGCCAGCAGCTACCGTGTGTAGCCAGCAACCAGCATGAGCCGCCGTCCAGAAGCCAGCGACTGATCTACCTCGCCCAGAAAGAGCACAATGATGATGTCAACTTGGGCCAATGAAGCAACATCCTCCACAACTAGACTGAAGAACAAAACGACAGCAACTTGTCTGTTCCCCTTCCCCCAATTCCCCAGCGCTGTTCCCATCCCCAATTCCCCAATAAAAACCTTTAAAAAAAAAAGAAATGATAGCTCCATTAGTCATTTGTGAATCAGCAACATTAATTTAACATTTGTTGTGGAACCACTTCACTCCTGGTTACTTCAGAAAATGGCAAAGAAAAGAATAGTTCTTGACATCATGGGGTTTATATTCCAAAGAAGTGTACATTGTTAATGGGCCCTATATAGTAAGTTGTAGAACCAGGTGGTACAGATTCTTTTGTCAATTTTAATCCTCTGTTACAATCTTAATATTGGCTTCTAAATAATTTTCTTAAGCAGAGGAAACAGTGAATTTAATCATGCTGAGAGCATTATGAACTTTATAAACTTGGAAGATCACCTAGATAAAACATATCTAAAAGAATGACAGTCCCTATTATTTTCATTTAAAATTTATCCATTATAAAGAAGCTCCAATAGAATTTTGGAATGATGTTAAGGTAACAATCTAATATGTAAATCATGGAATTGATGGTTGTTAGACATCTTATTGGCAGCCTGTGAAGCACTTCCTTGGGCTTCTCAGCACTATTTGTCAACCATGGAACAAGATGATATTTACTGTTCGTTTCTGGACCTAATATCCTATTACAATAGTTTTGATGTGAGTAGGATAAGAATGTCACCTTTGTTTTGTGTACCATGGCCCAGTATATCATCAGATCTCATAATCTTCTGGTTAGTCATACAATATTTATTTATTTTTGTTTGTTTGTTTGTTTTTTGGCCGGGACTCGAACCGCTGTTGCTCAGAGCTCAAACTCTTGAGTGAGCTCTTAACCAACTGAGCCACTTGGCTGGCCCCCATACAATTTTTTAATTAGCAATATAGACATAACTCTTGTGAGCTTGTTGACTAAGACAGTGTGTACTGCTGTGAAGTCATACCTATATTTCATTTTTACACAAAGGAATAGCTTTTTCTTACCACAATATTCCATATTATTAATTCAAATTTTCCTATTCTTAGGACATATATGATATAGTCTCATTTTTCTACCTAACAATGTATTTAGCAGGATTTCTTAATTTAGATAGAGAAATCACTAACAAATAATAAACTTTTAAAGCAGGGACTGCCATGTACACCTCTTTTGTACTTCGTAGTACTTCGTAGTTGGTATATACTTCGTAGTACCAACGCAATAGGTATTTGATAGATATTCAGTAAATATTGGTAAAATGTATGACGTAAGAGTATTGTTTGATGACTTACGGTTTCTAAATTATTTCTGTTTTTCCAGTATCTTAGCTGTTTGTGATTCCCCCTCCCATCTCTGGCAGGTGCCATGATTCTACAACTTTTGGAAAAAGTGACTGAACTGGAAAATTGGACCGAAGGGAAAGGTCTCATAGTTCATGGGGCAAAAAATACTTTCTCCTCAGGATCTGATCTGAATGCTGTGAAAGCACTAGGAACTCCAGAGGCAAGTATTGTATGAATTATGTACTGGATTCTACATGCCAGACATCTATGGCCGAGATAGTTATATTTTTACTTATGTGGTTATTATGATGATAGCTACTCTTTAATAGCTTTTCAAGGATCAGAGTTTTGTTTTGCTACTTAAAGATTAGTTTGCAATAGTGTGAAGTACTGGAGAGGGGGGAAAAAAAAGGAAAGACAGGAAGCTTAGCAATAACCAAAGTCCATTTTTAAAACCAGCAAGAATTTGAATTCTTTTAAATGGAAGCCCTTTAACATCTCCTGATAAAGAATTTTACACGAGGTACATATATAAGCTACCTAGCATAGCTTTGGTACACAGTAAGCTTGAACAAATGTTAAAAATTTGCTTTTGAATTATTACCCCCATAGAAAAAGAACCCTAATCATCTTCCATTGCCAGTCCTTCAAGGAACTTCTTTTTCTTGTATTCCGGCTTCCACCCACTACCCCTAGGCAAAACAAAAAAACAGAGGGAAATGAAAAGAAGGAAAAAATGTATTTATTGCCATTTAATTACTGATGTGGGCTGTATGTAGGTAATAAAGTTTTAATGGTATTCCACAACTTTTACACCACTCTATATAGTATATGATATCTATTTGCATAAATATGTGAGGAGACAGCTGTCTTTTGATAATTTTGATAGACTTGGATTTGAATGCTGGTTTCAACACTTTCTGGCTAAATGATCTGGCAATCACTTAATCTGTCTAAGTCTTATTTTCCTAATCTATAAATGAGAATTATATATTTCATAGAGCTATTGAGAGGATTCAAGATATGTATATAAAGTACCTATTAGCACAGTATCTCAAAGAGATAGCTATTATTTTATTTCAAAGATCTTGATATTAATAAACATTATTATCCATGAGAAGATCCATAATTTGTAGCACCACTAGACTTAAATTTTTAATGTTTCTGAATGGTTAGAGCACTAATATGGAGAATTGAATATATATGGGTTGTTGCCCAAGCTCTACTAATAATTATGTTGTTGGAAAGTGGGCCTTTTTCGGCACGAAACCCAGGTCCTTGGCGACTCGAGCAAGGAATTGAACGAGATACCGGAGTAAAGTACTGAAAAAGTAGTTTATTCGAAAAGATAATACTTTTCAAAGAGTAGAAGTAGGCCCGAGCAGTAGAGAATGGCTCAAGGGCCATTATTAGAAGAGAAATTACATTCCAAAGAGTTTGGAGCAGGCCACATGCAAAGGCGAGACTCAAAAAGGAAGAAACGGTCAAAAGACTAGGGCATCCAAAAAGGGAAAAAGAGAAAAAAGCTCGGACTTCCCAGGACTTGGGGTTTTTATCCCTTTTCTCTAGACTGGGCTGTTCCCCTAAGGGCGTGTGACCACTTGATTGGCACCTGTGATTGACAGGATGTACTGCGCAGGTGCGAGTGACTGGTCTGATCTAGTTGTACCCATTTGTTTTCCTACAGGGGTAGGTAATTACAATACAAACGGTAGTTTTGGTGTAGAGGGGAGGTCACTGGGCAGTCACATTCTGTGGGACCTGCAGGAATGCAGAGAACCAATGCCTGCCTCTAACTGCCTGCTTAGTTTTCCCCTTGAGAGAGGTGATCCCCATAAAATCTCTATGGGAAGCTGAGGGACAAGAGATCCTTTTTTCTGTATCTGCTTCCTGCTGGGCAGGGATGTAGAGTTGTCCCTGCCTATTGGGGGATTCACGGAACTCTCAACCTAGTTGATCTCAATGGAAGGAAGGGGTCTCAAGCTCCGCCTGGAAGACAGCGCTGGTTTCTTTAGTTGTGACTGGCAATCTTGTTGGGGTGTCCTCTGTATCCCCAAGGCCCCTGAATGAGGAAAAATAGATTTTAATTAATAAATCTGTTAGCTCTCATGAAATCCTGTTGCCATTTAGCCTGTTACTCAGGTGGCATCAATTGTCTGGGCCCAGAATGGATTTGGCATTCAGTTTACTGGCCTGGGGGATATTAGGAAGTCACAGGCTTTCAAGTAGTTATCTGAAGCAGGGTGGGAGACTTCTATTGTTTAGGATTTAGAAACTGATTTACAAAGCAATCAAGAAGCAGGCGGGGATCTTTAGTCTAGGATTCACAAACTGGTTAGAAAAGTTGGCCTGTAACACTAGGAAGAACTGGGGGAGTAGGGTTGGGTCTCAAGGTATCATCCAGATAGGATGAAAATACCACCGCCTGCAGCAGCTCTCCTAACCTTTTTTAGTACTTCTCAGCTTCCGTGTTCCTTTATCAGAGCAGTTCTAGCTTTCATTGGTTCCTTTTCCTCCGTTTATTGTATCACAAGTAGGGAATTATCTCTCATTGGCTTATTTTCTTCCTGCAGCCCAGGAAGAGGCCTGAGCATTTAACCATTGTTGACGCAGTGGCTTTGGAGGACAAATTTAATAAATTGAATCTTTCTTCCCCCTAGGTCATGTAGGCTAGTACACTGTAATCTTTACTTGGTGATACATTTAAAGCCAAAGCATACTCATCACTGATTGCCAGTGCTATTACTGATAATAATAGCAATGAGAGATAACATTCTTGTTTAGTTATTATACATAATAGAACAGGCACTGTTCTAAGCACTTTCCATGTCATCACTTATTTAATCATTACTAATGAGGTAGGTGCTGTTGTTGGTACCACTTTACAGATGAAGAGGCGGAGGCACACCGAGGTTAAGTATCTTGCCCAAAGTCAAACTGGCTAGTAAATAGCAGAGTCCATATTCAGACCTAGGCATTTTGGATCTAAGAGTTTGTGGTGTTAACCATGATTTCATACTGCTTTTAAATATTTTACTGCTTTTTATTTTTTGAGAATTATAACAGTACACAGGCTAATACCTGCTTTGCTTTCATTTCTACGAATTCTAGATACTTTAATTAGAATTTTAAGTACTCTACATCTGATAATAGAAAATAGGCCTATTAAAATTACTTGAGATAATTTTATAGGCTCTATTAGACAGGTTTTTAGTAGAATATAAACGAGTCTAGCTTTAAACCTTCTAGCTCTTTGTGCTTGTGTTAATTTTCTCATCACTTTATAATATAGACCTTTTTGAGACAGGATTTTGATTAGGAAATTTATACTTATTGTTTTTTTACTGTTCATTGACTGCATTTGTTTTATAAATAAACATAGCTCTCCATCTAAAATTCATCTGATTCGGTTAACTGTAGCAGACACATACTATATGCAAAACATCGTACTAGCTTCTGAGGATAAAGAAGGCATTTTGTCAACTTCAAGGAACTTACTGTCTAGGCCTAGCAAACGCCACTCCCCTTCTCCTTTATGGAGACTTCTCAGCTACCCAGCCGATTGAAATGAGTTGTTCCTTGTTTGTCACTATTCTCAGTTTGTTAAGCATTTCTTAAAATACTTATTCTGCACCTTGATGCATGCTGCATTTCTTTTTTTTTTTTTAAAGATTTTTATTGGGGAATTGGGGGGATGGGAACAGTGCTGGGGAATTGGGGGAAGGGGGACAGACAAGTTGCTGTCGTTTTGTTCTTCAATCTAGTTGTGGAGGATGTTGCTTCACTGGCCCAAGTTGGCACCATCATTGCGCTCTTCTCTGGCGAGGCAGATCAGTCGCCGGCTTCTGGACGGCCGCTCACTGCGGCTGCTGGCCGCTCACGCTGGCTGCTGGCTACACACAGTAGCCCATGGCAACCCACTGCCACAGGGAGTGCAGCCTACGCCGTCGCCGGCGACTCATGGCAGCCCAGCTCCAGGTTGAGCTGTCGTTCAGCATCTTAGCTGTGGAGGGCAGTGTCACTGGCCCTCATATGTGGGATCCGAACCGGGGCCCTCTGGCATCCCAAGCCAGTTCTTAACCATCGCGCCACTCGGCCGGCCCCATGCTGCATTTCTTTAATTCTGATAAGATTTTTGAGAACTGGGACTGCAGTCAACTTATTATATCCCCTAGCTTTTTATCTTGTATAGATAATAATAAATCCAAACACAATGCATACAAGACAATCTGTAAGTACTACAACTAAGTTACAAAATTAAAAATATCGCAGAGACGCAAAGGAGAAAACTGAGCTCAAAGGGTCCTAGAAGATGAACAAAAGAAAATACTGCAGCATTTGTATTTCAGAAGGCATCAAAGAACTTTAATTAAAATGTTATTTTTAAAAAAATAAGGTGTATTTTTGACTTTGTTACTTTCTAAATCCTGAACATTTTTTTAAAATTTTTTATATAATACATTTGTGTTATACCTTCATGTTTATGCTTTTTCTTATATAAAGGATGGAATGGCCTTATGTATGTTCATGCAAAACATCTTAACAAGATTTATGAGGTAATGTATTTTTCTTTTTAAAATATGATTTCTAAGAAAACCAAAAATAGTTCTTTATTCTGATTTGCACCAGTTTAAAAAACATACCTGATTTTCAAATTACATTTATTCTAATGATGGACTATTTATTTGTGTCATCAAGGACAGTCATTTAATTAAATGTTAGTGAAGTATAACAAGTATTTTAAAAATAAGAGCCATGAGACATAAAAAGAATTTAAGACAGCACTTTTCCCTAAAGAGCTTATATCACTAGCTATATTTAGGTATAGACATGGGAACGTTAAATACTGATATTAGAGCCGAATAAAGACACTAGTCAAGAGATGACATAAAGATTACCTAATATACAAAATTAGTAGAATGTATAGTGAAGTGCTCTGTATCCAGAGGAGAGAAAAGAGAGAAAGAACTATGGTTTGGAGAAGGCTTTTACAGATTTCTAAGGAAGATGGATTCACTTTGCACCCAGATGAAAAAGAAAAGGGAGAGAATTTCTAATACTATGCATTCGGGATTACAAACAATGACATACTTGGGCTGATTAGCTTTCTAATTCCATATTCCAAATGGAAACAATTTAAAAATTATAAAAACTAAGGAAATTCATATTTATTTAGCATACTTACTAATTAGATTTCACTGTACTTTTGGTGGTGTTCATATGTGAGGACCTAGAGAGAATAATAGAATCCTAAAATTACTATTTGAAAATACTTTTTCCATTGTATCAACTCCTGTTCACTTCCCTTTCCCTGTTACATTTGACTTTTTCTTAGATAAATTCTAAAAGTTTTTTGGTTTTCTTTTTAATCTTTTTATTGGAAGCAGTAAGTGTTAAGAAAATTTCAATTACTTTAAAGCGATAGCTTTGCATTTTGGTTAGAACCTACAAAAAATTCCATACTTTCAAAACATTTTATATTTACCTTTTTTTTAAGATTTTTATTGGGGATTTGGGGGATGGGAACAGCGCTGGGGGAATTGGGGGAAGGGGAACAGACAATTTGCTGTCCTTTTTTTCTTCAGTCTAGTCGTGGAGGACATTGCTTCACTAGCCCAAGTTGACACCATCATTGCGCTCTTCTCGGGAGAGGCAGATCAGTTGCCGGCTTCTGGACAGCCACTCACGACGGCTGCTG